TTTCAACTGATTTACCCTAACCTGCAACCTTGCAAAACATTTTTCATCGTTAAGGCCACTTAGTACTTACATACGCGTACAAACCTGCTAATGTGCCCCTCAAAATTACTAAGAATGCAAACTCTTAGTGAAAACACGATCACTCCCTGCAGGCTTAGTTGGGCGCTGCATGGTACCTAACAATGGGGGATGAGGCTGAGTTTTAAGTTTAGTTTGTGTGCGAAAGTTGAAATTATTCTTGTCTTACAATGAAAGCGCGGTCAGCTTACTGGAGTTCGGTACATTTCCTATGCGCTTTATGTTTGACATATTGTCCTGGAAAAACTTCAGTATGGCATCTGTCTCTTTCACCAAATTATACGTACGATCGCGTCTTAGGACAGGCACTGGCTGTCTTTGGACATTCGGTTTATAGATCGTTATCGAACTACTGACATAGGTCAGTACAGCATGCGTTGGCTTCAGACTGTTACGCCAGTGTCTTTCAACTTGCAGTTTGTTGACTGTGGGCCCTGGCAACCGCAATATGCAGTCGAAGTAATTTTGTGCACACAGGACATACTACGTGATCGAATTGCCGTCACCAAATCTGAGACTGACAAACGCCGCCATTTCGGAGTATGCAGTTTGACGGCACGCTAAAGACTATCTGGTGGGTTCATGGGTGTCTGCTCGATAGCGGCCAGCTGGCGGCAGGGCTGGACTAGGGCCATTCGCTGTCTTTTATTTAAATAATCGGGCCCACGCTGACGCGTACACTGTGATCGTTCTACAAAGAGTCGTCATGTCCGACTCATGCAGCGTGATTCAAAAAGAAGGCTGAAAAATGAGAATGTGCAGGACTGCTTACCTTCTCCTTATACCGGATAATTCATTCACATCAATTTTAAAATTTCCTCTCAAACACTTACTTGACTATAATGTATTAAAACTGTGCGCTTGCCAAGTAGTTTTCCGAATGAATTCATAGAATTTTTCCAAAATCAAAACAAATCAGACCTCAGCGGAATCTGGAAGACGATTTGATTGAAATTCCCTTATAATTGCTTTAAAAGGCTGTTTAGCGGCGAATGGCGTCTTCGTTCTGTGTGTAGGTGGTTACCTGTTCCTGGTTGACAGCTTCATTTAGGTGATCGACAGCGCTCGTTTTTGTCGACTTACGTTCTTTTGAAGGCTTGTCTCAACGGAGGCGAAATCTCACGTCCTGTGTCTTTGACCGATGTGAGAGAAGACGTCCGCTGGGTGTTTTATGGAATTGACGTAGCTCCAGTGACTTATGCCTGAAGTAGTTAATATTAAGGCCAACGTCGTGGCATCTATCACACTCGCTACCTTCGTCCACCAGACTAAGATGGCTAGACTATTTTGGGATGATCGGCGTTGGGCTAGGGTGCGACTGCTGACAAGGTGAAACGGTCCGTCTACACGTGCCAAACACAACCTGGTTCTCGCACAACATACCAGGTTTTCATGCAACGGAGGACGGCTCCTATCTCACATTCGAGATAGTGGCGTATAGAGAGCAGTAAGAACGCTCCATTGAGCCTGACCTCCAGTCCTCGAGTCTGTTACCTCACATTCATACTGCTGTTTACGGTGGCCAAACCATCCAGTCAGCTAGCGGTCTTCTAAGCCGCGACTTTTAGGACATCAATATACTCTGAAGCGCTTCAACTTTATCGTGATGAAGAATGCGCTGAAATACTATGGGAGTTAGTTTCCCTTGGCGACCCCACTCTCTATTCCCTCTCCTATGCACAAATACACCTTGAAGTCAGTCAGTCCTTTGGCATTGGGACTGAACACGGTGGGCGACAAAACTACATTAACCCGTCTTCTTTTGCCACACACAACCTAATAAGGTATAAGGTTGCGCAAAAGAAAATCCTTCCCACTGACGTGATCGGGGAAAGTTTCTCCCCCGTGTCAGAAGTCTTTGGGCTGTTTCGTGTGTGGTGAATTGGATGGTGCGGCAAGGTATGGTGGTATGGGAAGCTGTGTGGTATTTTACCTCAGGATTTTATGAATGCGCATATGGATGATTATCTGATGATGGCCGATGAAGGAATGTCGTTGTGCAGCGTGTATATTGGGGTTCCTGATAGTGAAAATCTAGTCTTGGTGCGATAGTTACGCATGTGCCCAACCAAGTGAATGTGTAATGCAAGTGCGCGTTGGCAGTAAGGACGGAATGGGACCGTAGTTAGTGAGCTGGTGGTGCGTCAATGCTATAGGTGGTTTTGCCCCTTTAGCTTCCTTGGGCATAAATCGCTAACTTGGAGTAAATCGGTCGAACCTTATCGTGCCGGTTGTAGAACAGTTTCCGGGTGTATGAAATAGATTACCTCTGATGACATTTCGGTGAATATTGTCGCCGTGGATAGGCAAGTGATCAGTCAGACGCATGCGATATCTGAATGGCCTGGAAAATTGAAAGCAGATAGGGCATGTGTGATGGGTAAATAACTGAGCTACGAGTATTGGTTCGCCGGTCTTTGTGGGATGGGTTGGCTAATGAGCAACCTGACCTGTATTTGGTGGTTACAATGGTGACAGGTCGGAATTGGGCCTACATTGAAGTTGCGGCAATGTTTAGCAGGACGGTTGAATGATTCGCATTGGTATTGGTGGTGGTGGTGGTGGTGGTGGTGGTGCTGGTGGTGGTGGTGGTGTTGGTGGCAGTGGTATCGCCCGTATATTTGGAAGTGCGAGGAGGATGGGGAGTGTTTACATCTCACTGGGGCCGTGGATACCTGCTGGGGCCCTTCTGGGCCCGAAATGCCCGTTGGCGGTGTGAAGACGAAGTTAGGAGCCAGGCACTCCGTGGCACTTTTGTCCTATGGGTTCCTCTTTTGTCATAGTCTCTAGTTGGTTAGCTTAGAACATGGCCGCATCAGCCTTTACAACAGTGCGCTCTGGTGGTCGCTCTAGAAAAAGATCCTCCCAGATCTCTGGGTTGTTTTGCGCCGTATTTGAGATGCCCTTGTGTCCACGCTCTTCGTGCCTTTTCCGCGATCACCGACAGCTACACCACCGTAGAATAGTCGCTTAGGCAGACCCTGTTCATTCATCCTCATAATATGGCCGCTCTATCGCAGTTTTATCTGCCGCAGTATGGCGTGCATAGTGAACAGGCCGGTCCTTTCCAGGAAATCAGTGAATGAGATCCCTTCCTGCCACTTCGACTTCAGCATTTTTCGGGGGTAATTAAGGTGGAAACGGGCGCGTTTTCATGCTTGATATTTCTAAACAGCCCGTATCTCAGCATCCTACAAGAAAGTTGTTAGAACAACAGCATTGTGCCTCCTGAGTTTTGTGTTGGGTAGGATGCCACGATGGTTCTAGATGTAGGGCTTTGGCCGGCCGAAGGCTTGACTGGCATGTGAAATCCGACTTGCGATTTCGTCGTCGATCTTAATGTTTCGTGCCCCCAAGGTACGCGAATATTCCCAGTGCAGTGAGATAAGTTCCACTGACATCGACACGGTGTTCGGTGTAGTCAACATTTGGCGCCAGTTGGTACATGATTACCGTCTTCTAATTGCTAGCGTTCATTTCAAAGTTTCAGCAGACAAGGATGAAAAGGTCCACATCATAATGCATGTCCTCTGCCGTTACGTTGGTTAGCACGCTGGCTCTGGATGCCTTGGAAGACGCTTTTAGGTGACGGATCTTGTACGTTCTCAGTCGGTTCGGTAGCTGATGTCTACCCTCGACGGTAGACGTCCATCCACATAGAGGAAACATGAGAATTGATGGAGTGGAAGAGAGTACCCAGCCCTGTTTCACCTCATTTGTCAACGCGAATGCTTCATGTATTACCCCGTTGTCTGTGACGCAAACCATCATTCCGTCGTGCAGTAGCCTTACCGTTTGATCAAATTTTTCAGGATATTCAAAGTTTGGAATGGTTTCTGGATTCATCCCGATTCACTGTATCTAAAACGGTGTAGTGGTTGATTCTCATCTCTTGACACTTTTCCTACATTCGACAAACGGCGGAAATTACGCTTGTTGATACATCGTGTTTTTGGTATTCGTATCGCGTTTCTGGAGAAATTCTCTGCTTCAGATACGCGTTCGGGCGATTGAATGGGGCAAGGGCGAAGATTTCTTTCTGCATTTTTGTGAGGATAGATGACTCAGTGGTTCTCAAAAGTTAGGAGCTTCTTCTGCATCTATAAATGTGCACGTTGGTGATGTCCTTGAAGTCTTGGCTACTTTCACGAAACAGCAAGTTAAGCTATTACATTATTTGTGGGTCGCCGTACTTGTATACTTCTGCTGGAATTACGTATGCCTTATGTGGCTTTCCTATGAACGGCTGTTGCACTGCCCTGATTTTATCAAGGAAGGAAGATGGGCAATAAACTTCGTTTTTATCGTTCACTTGAGGAAGTCGGTTGATGACCTCTTCGCAGATTCTGAGCAACTAATTGAGGAAGCCCTGAAAGCGATCGGCCCAGCGCTCCAGAAACTGTGACTTTTGCGCCAGGAGGCATGTGTCCGGGGATTGCAAACCGTAGACTGTTTTGATGACTGCGAAGATATTCTTCGTCTCACAGAAGCCGGCATACCTTTGGATCTCATCAGCTACGTGCATCATCCTCTCTATCAGCATCTGTCACACCGGCCGTCCTCATTGAAAGTTTGCGGCTTTATTTACCTTACTGATGTTGATGTTATAAGGAGTGTGTAGATTGTGTCGCTTTAAAAAGAGAGTGTTGATTTCTTCGCAATTTTTATCAAATCGGTCCTGGTTCTGGCGGCGTGCGCAGCCGATGGATTCCATCACGGCATTCTGGACGATATCCGGCAGTTCCTTCCACTGGGTCTCGAAATTGGTATGCGCCCAAGTGTTTACTTTCCCCGGATGGAAGCGAATATGCGAATCCCAGTTTCTTGTTATAAAGAAGATGAACACACGATCTCTGGGCCAGTAGGTGTATTAGTCTGAGCTTCCGGTCTCGTACAGGAGGCCATCTTCAGAGACTGTGAGAATGCGACATCAAATGAGCGGTGAAAATTTCGGGCGCAATGCGCTTCGCACAGCTCGCAGCTGGGAGACATTCTCCAGCCGAGAGGCAGCAACATATGAGCAGCTGCGTTTTCTGCACAGCTGTGTTCGCGCAGGACTGGCAACGAAGAGCCTACGTTACAAGACTCCAGTGAATACTGAACTGGGTGGAGACGTTGCGCAACGTTTTCGCAAGCAAATGACAAGGGTGTTGATCAACGACTGCCATTTGCGCCTACAAAAGTACCGCGCCGTCATTGAACAGAAAAGGACAGAGTGCGCAATATTGTTTGACGAATTGGTTACTGATTCTTTTGGCCGAACAATATCTATCTTGGCGAAAAGGATACAGGAGTTAACGCGCATGAACCTAGAGCAGAAGTTCGGAAAATTGAAAGCGGGATACAAGACGAACAAAAATGTGGTGCACAATCTATCTTCCAGGCAGTTAACGGAAAAAGAATTGACAGTGCTGAGTCGTGAAGCCAACTTTAATACGGCAGATGCTAAACCAGCCGAATATATTGCCGCGTTTGAAGCCATGCTAATAAGAACTAACGCAACCGACGAGGCTAAACGCGTCATACGACAGAAGGTCACCTCCTTACTGCTGAAGAACAGGCGCACCAATAATATGTCGCCCGCAGAAATAGAAGCAATGAAGGAATTAAAAATGGACAAAGAAATAATAGTGCTGCCAGCTGACAAAGGGAGAGCAACCGTCGTGATGAACCGCGTCGACTACAACGAAAAGGCCCAAGCCCTCCTCGACGACCAACAGTCCTACAAATCCACGCCTTCCTCGCGAGCCAAATCGATGACTGGTCGACTAACCGGACTCCTGAACCTACTGAAACGCAACAGTGCGATATCGCTAGACGAATGGCGACAGATGAAACCAAAGGAAACGGCACTGACCCGATTTTACGGATTACCCAACATCTACAAGCCCAATGTTCCACTTCGACCGATCGCTGCCTTGAAAGGCAGTCCCACTTACAATCTATCCAAGAGGATGGCCCGAAAACTTAACTTTCTCCAAGAAGGCTCGAGGACCTCTATGAATTCGGCCTCCCAATGCCTGGTCGACGTTCGAGGAAAAGTTGTCCGACCGGATCAGATTATGGTGTCCTTTGACGTGGTCTTATTATTCACATCCATTCTTCGCAAACGACTCGAAGAGAACTACGACGAAACAAACAGACCCCTAAAAATCGACCACTTGCCGCAACTCTTTGCCTTTTGCCAACAAATCTTTTTCACCTCCAATGGCAGAACATACGAGCAGATCAAAGGAACGCCGATGGGTTCGCCAATATCCAGCCTGGTTGCAGAAATAGTCCTATAGGAGCTGGTAAAAGTCGCCTTCGACCACTATGAACCTGCATTTTGGCGCCGGTACGTGGACAACACGTTTGTTATAATTGAAAGGAGCAGACTTGCCGGTTTTAAAGACCTGCTTAACGGCATCTTTCCGGACATTCAGTTCAAAAGGGAAGAATAGCCTGCTGAACAGCTGCCTTTCCTTGACGTTCTCGTCACACGCAAAGCCAACACCACGGTTTACAGATAGGCGACTAACACGACTCAGATTCTCAACTACCACAGTAACCCCCCAATGGCGCATAAACGCAGCTGTGTTAGGACACTTTCACAAAGGGTAAAAACGCACTGCAGTGAGCCAGAGGGGCGAGTACAGGAACTTCGACATTTTCGGGAACAACTGGCAAGGAATGGATACCCGAACAGCTTCGTCAGCCACTGCCTCCGCACGCACCTACGGCAAACAAATGGACGAGAGCCGCCAACACTCTGGCACCCTCTACCATACATAAAGAACGTGCCCGAAGCGATAGAACGTATCGCTGGAGAGCACGGCGTGGATATCGCTCACCGTCCGACAGCGACCATGCGCAACAAAGTCATGCGAGTGAAGTATCGACTGGACGTGGGAGAACAATCGGGTGTCGTTTATCGGACCCCATGTCGGGACTGCCCTCGCAACTACAGACCGGACGACGACTTAGCTCATGAATAATGGAGCATAAACGGGCGGTCCGGAGAGGCGGCTCGTTGTCTCAGGTCGCCACTCACACCCTGGAGGAAGGCCACTAATTCAACTTCGCGAATACGCGGATAGTAGCTCGGGCCAGCAATAAGACAAGGCGAGAACTGTTGGAGGCCTGGGTGTCTGACACCAACTCTATCAACAGACACGTTGGCACACCCCCTGCCATCGCACGCTCCGTTCCCGCGGCCAAGAGGCGAGACCCAATTTTCAGCCAAGGGTGCACGCAGTCACGCTGCCGAGACTCGGCGTGGGACTCAGCTTATCGCGAATACCACCCTCTGCGCTCATAGCCCCCCCCCCCTTCATGGCTTGACTACAAAAACTGCTCATTTGATGTCGCATTTTCACAGTCTCTGACGTTGGCTTCCTGCACGAGACCGAAAGCTCAGACTAATACACCTTTTGTCTAAGAGATCGTGTGTTAATCTTGTTTACTTTCCTTCCATTTTGGAGCTCCGCGGGGGTCCAGGTGTATTAATTAAAAAAGTATTTAATTAATCAATGTCAACCTACGTTGTGGTCAGTCACAGACGCATCCGCAGTGACAAATGGGACGAAGTAGGGCAACGTACTCGTTTCCGCCTTATTCCGTTTCATATGCACCGCCATGCTGTGGAAGACCTACATTGAAAATCAGCCTGGAATCGACATCGCCTACCAGACAGATTGAAATCTTCCTCGATTTCTCGTTACGTTAGTAGCTACCCATACGGCTCTCCAACCATCAAGTTACAGGGGGCGTGAGACGGACTGAAGGAGGCATGAGTAAGCGGCGGCTGTGGCGATCGTGAGAGCAGACTGTCACAGTACCCGCGGTTAGACCGAAGACGGAGGATAGCGACGCTGAGTCAATTTTTCTTGACTGAAAAGCATCGGTAATCAGTCGGTCAATTAAATGAACACAACGTCCATTACGTGTGACGTAAACCAGAGATAGGATTCGACCTTCGCGAATGACGACATCAACGCTGTGCCCCACAGCAAGCCGTACAAAAGAACGGTGATTTGGCGTGAATTAGCCTGTACTGATAATAGACTTCTGCTGCATCACGGCAACCTCACTTCTCTCTCTCTCTCTCTCTCTCTCTCTCTCTCTCTCTCTCACACACACACACACACGACAGTTCGACCGTCGATTTCGACGATGTCCACCGTGTGCCCCACAGTTGCAGCAGCAATGGGAGCAGGGACGGTGACTTACGCAGGGGTTTATAGTGCTAGTAGACTTGCGTATCACCTACCTACACTCTCTCCTCCTCCCCCGCCTGGGCCCGGTGTTAAGACCAAGTCAAGAAGATCGGAAACGGGGGAGGCCGCAGGTGAATGGCTCGGACGGATCCTCACCTTGGCGTTCCACCACACCCCCTGGTCCACACAAAAAATAACCAGGATTTCAACCAACACAACAGAGATCGGAGGCTGGCACGACCGAAGCCGCACCTGGGCGTGCCGCCGACGCCTGGCTCGGATCCCACACTGTGGTGGGAGTGCCATAAACTCCACATTAAAAAGGAGCCACTGCAGCCTGACTCTCAGACCGCCTGCATTTAAGGAGGAGGTCCAAGGTACCCCGTCAGTTGACAACCTTCCAAGCCACGGCTTTTGGCGCACCGTGATAGCTTCAAGCGCGTCAGACTGTTTATAGTGAGGAGAAAGTGCGCTGAGTCGTCGACCTCACTCTCCCTTCCCACTCCCACACCCCAGCCACTGTCCGAGCCGGTCAGCAGACTGGAGTGGGGAATGGGCGCGGTGACTGTCATGGTCGACTGACCATGACTGCGCGCGCCACGGCACGACCTGGCCCCCTATACACACAAAAACCAGGATTTCACACAACGGGGGTTGAACGGCGTGTCCCTCACTTGCGTGAGAGTGCCGTGGAAGGTGCTGTTTCAGCCCGTCCCCAGCCCACCAGTCCGCCACTCTACACAACAAACACACACACACACAACGCGACGAACTGCGTGAACCGAGAGCAGGCGTCAATCAGCACCCTTCCTATCCACGACGCTTGACGTGTCGGGATGGTTTCGGACTCCAGTCACCCGTGCAGCCGAAGCCGCATGGGGACCGAGTCGAGATGCACACTTCCCACTGGCGTGGTAGGTGGCAGTTGGGTGCTTGCGATGGGTGCGTGTTGATGTGTGGTGGTGGTGGTGGTGGTGTAGGAGGTAGGGAGTGAGTGAATGTGTGGTGTGACCAGCGGTTGTCTACCGCAGGTCGTCGTGGATGCGCATGTGCCTGAAAGTGCGAGGGCAGTGTGGGCAGTTGAGACGAGCGTGGTGGGTGTAGTTTGGTGCTCCAGGCACTGGTTCGCCAGTCTCTGTGCGATGGATTCGCCAGTGACCGACCAGGCCGATGCGTGAGGTGAATGTGCGTGGACAGTGTGGGCATGAGAAGTCGGCGGTGTCAGTGTCAGCTAAAGAGCAGGCGGTGGTGATGGCGCAAACGGATGGAGCGAGGGTGGGGGTGTGCACGGTGGATGTGTTGGATGTGGTGGGTGTGTCGGGAGTGCGGTCAAGTCCGCTCTCGTGAACGCGCATGTGGCCGAATAGGCCCATGCGGTGCCTGAAAGTGCGAGGACAAACACACAAGTCAACAAAACTGGAAGCAGGATCGGAAGTAGAGACCGACAAGGCTAAACAGCCCCTCTTTGAATGTCCCACACGCCTGATTTGCGTACAAAGGACCGGGGTTTTCCAGAGACACGTGAGGTCGGCTCAAATTCCTTCTGATTGAGAGTGCCATAAAAGCCACATAGAAAATGAGGCTTTACAATCTGTCTTTTCATCCTGAAAGGCGGACGGATTTATCCCTTCAGTTGTCAGCCTTTTAGGCCACGTTGGCGCATAGTGATAGATTCAAGCGCATAAGATTGTTTCAGGTGAAAATTATGTGCTGACAGTCGACCTCACCCCTCTTCCCGCTCCCAGGAATCAGAATATTATGCGAGCAGGTCAGTCGTCTGATTTGGGGATAGTTAGGCGTTCGCCTGCGCGTGCCGCAAAACCTGGCCCCGCACACAACACACCAGGCTTTTACGCACGGGGGTAGGCGGATCGGATCTTACATGCGTGTGAGTCTGTTAGAAGGCATATGCGCAAAAAGCCGTTGAACCTGAACCAAAGTCCTTTAAGCGGCCACCCCATAAAAACGTACAGGTTTGACTGCGAAGTTTGCGTTGTAAAGTCAGCTAGCAACCATCCAATTCACGACGTTAATTGTGTCGTGATGGATATAGGCGCGTCAGATTTACTATAGTGAGGAATGCACTGAAGTAATTGGGGAATGATTTACCCAAAATCGACCTGATCCCCTCTTCCCTCTACGGCGCACCAAATGATCAGGAGCAGTGGCTGATAGACCTAATCAGTCCATATGTGCAAGCCTCACACGACCTGACCTCTAACACAACGCACCAGGTTTTCACACAAGGGGGTGAGCCGTTTTGATGTTACATGTGTTAGAGCAACATAAAGGCCATATGGAGAGGCAGCCGAAAATCACGCTTCCTTCTTAAGTCGGAGGTACTTATTTAGCGCTTGCGGTAGGTGATGCGGAGGGGTTCATTTGGTGTGTGTGTGTGTGTTGTTGGGGAGATGTGTGGTGGTAGGATCTGATCTGCTGTGGTTTACCGCAGAAATTCATGGAGCCGTATGTAGTCGAGTAGGCCCACGTGGTGACTGAATGTGCGTGGGCGGTGCGAGCAGTTCAGGCGTGTACAGCGCGTGCATTTTGGAGTTCCACGCACTAGTTCGCAGATCTCATCAGGACGGATTCGCAAGTGATCGAGCAGGCTAAACCGGTGGTGCAGGAAGAGATGACTCATTGTATGCTGCGACTAAAGAGGTGGAGGCAGATGAGGTAGTTACAGTGAGGGGCAACAGATATGGAGGGACAGAAAGTAGACGAAAAGGAGGGATAGAGGAGAAGGAAGATGGAGGAGCAGGAAGTACGGGACCACAGGACTCGTCCGAAGGAATGTCAATGACAGCAGCAATGAAGCGAACCACGATCACTAATTCCCGCAAATGAATGTACTTCTTGTCACACTTCCCTTCTCCCGTTCTCCTAAGTTGCTTCCCATCAGCAACGATGATTTGTCCTGAAAACCTCGTCAAACGGCGACCAATTATTCCTGAGAAGACGACACAAAATACCTCACCGAAGAGGCAACTTTCGTGGAGCCAACCGCAAACTTAAAGGCATTATAGAACGGAGCAAGTTAAACTTCATCCAGAAGCCAAATTTTCAAAAAAATTAGCAAAACCTTTTCCTTGACGGACCTGCCCAAATACTAACGCTCAATGTCGGCAATGCAGACCTCAGCATAAAAATAGAAGTCCACTAATACGATATGTCAATATTAGTTTGTGCATTCTGGTCTCAAACGTCACGCCAGGGATGACACCGCTGCTGAAATACGACCATAAATATGATCACCCCTGCGCCTGGTTGAACAGACTGACTTGGTAATGATCAGGTCAGGCCGAAAGGGAAAAGAAATGTCTTAAAAACCTCGGCAAAAAAGCGTCTGACGGTTATAAAATTGCATTAAACTGTGGTACTGACGAGTAAGAAAAAGGAAGCATCGAGGGCAGTAAAGGGTACACGAGGAATGTCTCAAGAGTGAGTTATCCATCCTTAGAGACAAGTAAGAATGACAGACGAAAACGACGCAGAACGCGAGCACTCACAAATCCCCAGATTGGCAAGTAAGAAACATGGTAGGAGTATAAGCATCGCATATGCTGTGCAGGTTTGCAAACTTTATTAAACGTATGCTTGGCTGGAGGGGCTTGCAAGAGATCGGTCCAAACAGTCCAGACTGTCACTTTTCCAGCCGTAGAAACCTGAAAGAGGATTCATGAAATGAGTCCCAGGAGTAAGATGCACAAGCTTTTCATTGCCCTGAGAGTTAGCCTATGCTTCACAGAGTCCTGAAAAAGGAGACGTTTTGTTGCGATTTTGCCGACCGACAAGCTCCCACAAAGCTCAACCACAGCCGAGAAAGTGACAGCTTTTCACTGACAACTGTCTGCTGAGAACTGTAAAGGTCGAGAGAAAGAATTGTATGGCGGACAAATGAAGTGAGTGGGCGGGATGAAAACGACGACTGTCTTTACATTAACGCGCTGATTCAGAAATTTTGAAGCACTCCGGATGTTGAATAAAAAATAATAAGCGGTCCAAAATCAAGATCAGGGATTTCCCTACAATTTCTCCCTTACATCAAATGACAGTTCGACCGTCGATTCCGACGATATTCACCGTGTGCTACCCAGCAAGATTCAGCAGGCACGGTGACTTGTGCGTGAATTAATTTATAATGATAGTATAATTGCACAGAATCACCTGCCCTCTCTCCTCCCACCCTGTACCCGGTGTCAAGACCTAGTAAAGAAGACCGGAGGCTAAAAAGGGCGCAGATGGCTGGCACGGCCGGACCCGCACATAGGTGTGCCTCCACGCCCCATGGTCCACAACATACAATTGAACAGGATTTTTCACCAGCAACAACGACATCACAAAATAGGTCAGAAGGAAGAGGATGACTGGGCAGCCGTTCCCATCACCTGTATATCCAGCGGGAGGGCAAGCGCACCTATTGGCTGGGAATCAGGTGTCAGGGAGCTGCCATCGCATACCAAGGTACGAGGGACATGGTTTGTCGATACTCGAATAGCACACGATTTCAGATTTTGTCTCACATAAAATAGCATTATCGACTTTATGGTAGTCTGCCTCATTCTTTGATTTAAGCTTTTACACCAGTTATGACCTCCAAACGAGAAAAAGACGAAATAGACCCTAATAGCTCACGGGTGTGGCGAATAACGACGAAAGTGGAAAGTTCTAGGTCGCCGCCGCAGAAAAATGTTGGCCTACAGCAAGTCAGGCCTGCCCAATGAACTGTTTAAAAAAAAACATAGATCGCAACTTTAAAACTTTAATCACGGTCTGGGAAACGAAGGACTTCTTCTTCAAAAAGAAACGTCGGCAGTTTTAGTTCAGTTTTCAAACCATTCTGTCTTCGCTGAACCTTCAGGAAATAGGCTTCTTTGTTCTCAATGGGAGAGACTCGATCATCACGAGATATGTTTAGTGGAGGGTAGTCTGCGAGTGCCCGCCACCAGCGCTTCCGCTCACCTACATTGAAGTACATTACGTCCACCGACTCCGCGTGCAAAGTTGAATCGCTATTCATCCGGTTATCGGCCAGCATGTACTCAGACGCCATTCTGCAAATATTAGAAGACATAGTGCAGGATAGAAAGTCAGTGCTGGCCAGCATTCGAACATCGGTATAAATTCCGAGTGTGGCACGAACTGAATGAATGTAGGCCGATGTGGCACGTTTTTCATCACCGATGAACTCGTAGTCTGGATATGACCGTCTGGCCTCCTTAAAGACGGATGGATCATCGGAGGCCAAAAACACCCTCCGCCGTTTAGACCAGGGAGGCGACACATTACTTCCTGTCTTCAACTGATACTCCATTAGTTTTCGTTGGAAAAATCGCTCCACCGGAAGCATGTACTCAGGCAGATTGTGGAATTCAGCTTCCTTCAGTTGAATTTTATCCGTACGACGTACGTGAATACCAGCAACAGGGCAGGTGAAATATCCGGACGGCATTTGACTCCGTATGTCCCTAATTTCGGCCTCTAGACGCCACTTGAACGCCTCGTCTTTGAGACGGAGTATGAAGGCCA